GAAGGCAAAATAAATTCTTAATGATAATTGATAGAGAGCAGTTTCGTTTTGGAGGTGTTACAATTAAGAAGTTTTTTCTTGCCCCATTTAACAACAGATTATACGTCATTTCTTTGTCCTAGTTATTAAGAGAGCGATTTTAAAAATAAATATATCATTTTATTCATATATTTTATTTTATTTTTTTTTAATCATAAGAAAAAATGATTCTGGGCAAAACAGTTTTTTCTTCTCCTGTATTTTTAAAAATCCCATGTTTTTTTTTCAGAGCATAAGCGATCCTGGCTCTTCGTGAAATCTTTTTCTTTAATATCCGTGAATTGACAAGCCTTATTGCGAATTATATTAAAATGGTTTTCCGTTGTTTGCTCCGAAGTTTTGAATTAAAATTTTCCCTTCTCTCAGATTGGTTATTGCCTAAATTTCGAGAATGTAACCCAGAGTACCAGGCTGGAATTTGAAGATTCACCGAATCCACTTCCGGCACTGATAGTTGCGCATCCTCTCCTGCATTATTATGCTGTAAAGACCTCATTGACTTACTCAGACGTGTTTGATGGCTTTCTTTCCTTTTACAAGTCACCATTTTTTTTTTTGCTACATTCGCTACTACTAAGGAAAGTTAGAATAATCATTGTTTTAATTAGTTGTTAATCCGGCCGTCTAACGAAATTATCTTTTTATTATACATGGTGTTTCAAAAAATTTGATATCATTTCGCAATCTAATAACTTTGTTAGATCTCCTTCAAATGACTTCAAATTTTAATAGCATCTTTATGTTTAATGTTTGTTTTATGTTTTTATGTCTTTATGTTTTTGTGTTTTTCTTATTTGTATTTTTTATGTTCTTTAATCTTTAATCTTTTTCTTTACAGGTATAAAATGCTATTTACTAGAAGAGAAAAGGACGTTTTGTGTGTTCACATAATCCACATGCTTTTGAATTTCTCATTCAGATTTGGAAGAATAAATCTTATGATCTTCAACATTAATACTTTTTAATTTCATTTGCCTTAATCATGTACTTTCTGTGATATTTAAATCTCAAAGGATATCAAATTTTTTGAAACACTCTGTATAAAAAAAATCTTGGCTTATTCCTGACCCTTTTTTCCAGGTAATTTTTCTGGCAATATATTGTTGCTCAGGAGTCCAATGAAAATGATTACAATGAAACAATATCGAGTAATCTTGCTGTATGAGTACCAACTTGGAAAAGGAGCCATTTTTGCATCGAATCGTTGCATGCGATGAGAAATGCATACTCTTTGACAACAGTAAGAGAGTAGGCCAGTGGTTAGTTGCAAGGGAATCACTAAAACAATATCCCAAACCTTCACTGTACCCTAAAATTTTAATGGTTACTGTGTACTGGCCTTTCAAATGCGATATTTATTATTCCTTGTTGGAAAACAATAACAACAACCTCGTATTGTGGAGAAATTGAGTGTCTGCATGAAAAATTGAAAAAGAAACATCCTAGACTTTTGAGTAGTGGTGACTCAATTTAGCTGCAAGACAACGTACGGTCGAACGCTTCTGAATCAACTTTCCAAAAACTGCATAGCCTGAATTATAAAATTTTGCTTCATCCTCCATATTCACCTGGTATCTCTCATGCTAATTATCACTTATTTAATTATTTTGAGCTTTTCAGACGAAACAAAACATTCTTCAATAAGGAAGAGGTAATCACATCAAAGGATGAAATTTGTTTTAAAGATGAGATCAAGAATTGAGAGGTACGTTGGAGAAAAGTTATTCTTCAACATGGCGTTTATTTCAATTAAATAAATGAGCTATTTAGCATTTTAGAAGCGTTTTATTCATTTCCTATAAAGTGCGTCGTTTTATCTGAAACAACTTAATATCATTTCGACGTCTTTATTTTATTATTCTCTTATGTCGTCATTAATTTGATTAGCGTAAATCTGATCCCAGTTTACAGCTACAGAATTAACTAAATCCTTTCCTTGGATTTGCCATTATCTGACGTCATTGATTTGTTTTTATAGTGTCATTGTTTTATATATGTTTGTATTTTCATATTTTGTTTTTGTATTAAAAAGAACGGCTGCGTCTATTTCGCTTTAATAGATAAAAGGCGCTTAAATGCAAATAAAGGATGTTCCAATAACTTGGACAGATTTTAAATGTGAATTAAGTTTAAGCGTCCAATGATTCATTTTGCTTTCAGATTTAATAACTTAATTCTTTGACAATTTCAATCATAGAAAAATTAACAATCAATGTGTTAAGTTATCGAAGCCTATTATGAAAATGGGCGTTCAAACAGAAATGCAATGACAAGTTCCCCGGTCGCATCATCTCTCGAAACAGCGAAGTTAATTAGTCACCAGGATCGCGTAACTTGACGCCTTTAGATTTCTTTCTTTGGGGTCATCTCAAAAGTAAGGTCTATGCCAACAGGCTAACAAAAATTCAACATCTGAAGGAGGAGATAATAAGGCATATTGGTGAGATCGAAGAGTAACTATACAGAGACGCCATCAAAAATTTTGACCATCGAGTGGAGGTGTGCCGCCGAAGCCTTGACGGACATTTGGGTGATATTATTTTTCACACATAATTGCCATGACTTAAATAACATGATCCAATAGAGAAATAAATAAATTTTCACCAATAACACTGATTTATTTACTGCTGACTTTGATCCATCTTAATGAAACACCCTTTAGTTAAACTTCAGGATGTGTCTTGATTCCTTAACTTTTAGTGAATGCAAGGGCCACCAAGACTCCTTCTGCTATGGTTTATATCTACAAGAGCCAGATCAAATCAAAAATGGATTACAGGCTATAGTTGCCTTCTCTCCACGCTTTCCACTTTTGGCTGTATTCAAAATTGTGGGTGATTAATTATTTTCCAATCTACAACCCTTTTCCTATAGGAAAACGTCGCAAACTCTCGAAACTATCGCAAATGTTTTGATAAGCTACATTCATTAGCTTCATCAGTTGGTCCCTTTATGGCAAAGACTCGCCATGCCACATTCACTGGAATAAACAGTCCCCATTCCTTTTGTATTTCATTAATAAGGAAGAAGTTCCATTCGGACAGCTACTTTGTGCAACAGACGCTTGGGATTATTCTTCTCCGATTGATACAGTCTTAACCTCTTCAAGACCAGGGTCAACCGTTATCTATCTTACATACCCTGATAATCTGCACTTACTTCTTGCTACAATCTTAACCTTTTTAAGTCTAGGGTCAATTGTTTATCATATATATCCTCTTAGCATTTCTTACCTCATATAGGATTTTTTTTATTTTGTAAAAGATTCTACGAAAAACATAGTTCAAACAAATGTTTGAGGTAACATTTAATTTATATGGGCACACGACTAAGACAGATGACATGAACCGATTTAAAAAAAACCCAAAAAAACAGACGATAAATGTATTGTTAACACACAAAAATAAATGAATTACACAAATGAAGGAGTTTGTGTGCCAAATGATGGCCAATAACGTATGTAAATTATCAATGAAAATGAAATCTGCATTTTTACAATAAAACTTATAATTCTGAATATAGGGTCCTCAGAAAAGAAAACTACCTAAAATGAAGAAAAGGAGAAAATACTTCTCTGAATAGCTTTCAAAGAATTGGTACAATATTCGAAGTAAAATTCAAAGAAACAGCGAAAAATAAAACAATCACAGCAGCCGAAGAATTTTCCTTGATGTGGGAACGACTTTCATGTTCCTTTCAATTATCGTCTGGTGAATAAACTATTATTTCTATAAATTTGCTATAAATACTTCCATGATAATTGTTTTGATGAACATTCTTCTACTGTGCATAAGGGAACAAGTTAGGACTTCATAGAGACCAGCGATATTATGGTGACTGTAGTAAGAATGTGTTGTTTTGGTGTAAGGAATACTGTAGTATGTTTGGGCCTGCTATCGTGGCTATCTCGGTTTAAGATAAGACAGATTGAAGACCAGCCTTACCCCATCCCTCTTTTGGCCTTGTGCAACATTTTTTCAAAGAAGAAAGTAATATTTACTTTGATATAATATTACTTTCTTCTTTGATATCTAGACTTTATGAATTTAAGCGCACTACTAGATTGGCGGCAAGGTCTCATTATTTTATAGTTGAAATGGCTAGATGTAACCGTAAGTTCTTTGCTGACAGTTTCTTCTGTCGCACTTCTCGCTTGTGGAACTCTCTTCCGGTTTCTTGCTTTCCTGGCAACTTTGATAATCAAAAGTTTAAATGGAATGTTAATCGTTATCTTCCGTCTTCTTAATTCCTGTTCTTTTATTGTTCCCTCACCTTAATAGTGTTTTTTTTTCTGATATTCTCTAACAGTCAGCAACTTCTTCCATCTTAGTGGCTTTATCATCTTGATTGGTGTGAAATGATTAAAACAATTAAAACTCAACTAGTTCGGAAAACACACACAAACACACTATTGCTATAAAGAAAAAGGAGCGCTTCGATTCTCTTTCTCTCATAATAAACATTTTTTTAATAAAATGACATATATTTTGTGATCTATATTTAACGATACTCGGAATGCCAGTTTACTAAATCATTTTTATTGCAGTATAAGTTCAGAAATATTAAAAAAAGATTATATCTTTCGTATTTTCCAGTTTCAAAAATTTGTCGTTTTAATTTGCTTTTTTTTATTTTGATGGAACTCTTCTGTTGTTTGCATAATGTATATGTTCAATATAATGTCTTATCGAAGAGAAATAAAATAAAAAAACCGTCCTCGCATTTTAAATAAATAAATAAATATACAGAACAACAGTCTTGTTGAAATGCGACATGACGTCAGCACAAACAAGCCGGCCGCCATATTGTCAATAAAATGCAATTTTTTTTTTAAATGAAAGGAAATATTTTTCTCTGTAGATGATAAACAGATATATGCGGGCGTAAGAAAGAAAATATATTTGCATTATTATATTATTTAAGTTGCTTTAAAACTGCTAAAATAGGACTTTATTTTATGATTATGTTTCCTCAAGTGGAAATATGAGAGCGAGAGAGAGAGAGAGAGAGAGAGAGAGAGAGAGAGAGAGAGAGTGTGAGGGAGGATCTTTTCTGTTAATTCACCTCAAAATATTAATGGACCCAAAAATAAAAAAAAAAAATTATATTTATTTAAAATTCTACCAGAGAGAAATATGGGCAACTCGTGTGCGCTATAAATAAGTGTGGGGTCTGCGATCGCGCTCATTCCGATAAACAATTCAAAAACAGATTTAAAGAAAATGTTTTTGAATTGTAAAAAATTTGCTTGTAAGTATATCGAATATCATCTGCACCTACAAAATGTGAATGACACTGATTTTTGGTAATTTTTCCTTTGAAGGTTTGAATTGTTGCAAAAATAATTTTGGATTGTAAGAATAAATCTTTTTGATTTAAAATTTATAATTTCAAAAGAGTACCAAAAATTTAACAAAAAAAAAAAACAAAAAAACAACAAAAAAACAAACTTTGATTTAAAATTTATAATTTCTAGGGGTTAATTAATATTTGCGATAATTAACGTTTCATTATTTCGGGTTGAACTAACAGAAAAGATTCAAAATATCTTTGCAATTTTATATTAAGTTTCTGTAAAACTAACATTTTCTTTGTTTATCGTCAAAATTAGATTCGTCATCATACTACCCAGGGTGTATCAAAAATACGTTTATGAACGTGTGGTTCCTTAGATCAAAAGAAGGACACAAGTTCACATAAACATATGTCCGCAAATCCTTTCTTTTTGAGTTAAGTTTAAAGAAAGTTTACGCTAGATGGCGCTGTGTTTCCATGTAGATTTATTAACATTTCTCATTCGTGTACATTTGTGGCTGGTCTGTCTTCAACTTTTAACGAGTGTAGTAGTGTTTTAACTGAGAATTGTCCCGTTTAATAATGGCAGGATATTCTTACCATGAACAGGTAAGATACGATTTTTACATACGGTCGCGTGAATGGTAATGGACACGAGACTACCCGGCTGTATCAGATTGCATTTTCATACCGAAGGTAGCAGAGTCATTTAAACTTTGCTGCTGTTTATTGTCACATTGCTGAGGCAGCATCTGTGGTGCCACAAACTATGGAACGAGGAAGACAGAGATCGGCTCGTACGGCTGGCAACAAAGAACACATTCTACAGGCTGCTAACAGACGTCCTAGCATGTCGTACCTCTTATAGTAACGCATGGAAGGTACTTCAAGTGCAGCTCCTGTATCCGTATCATTTACAACGTGGGCAGGGTCGTTCGCTCTCTGATCACTCACTTACGGGAGGATTTTCGTCGATGGTTTTAAACTTAATGACTCAAAAACGAAGGATTTGTGGACATGTTTATATGGACCTTTGACCCTGTTTTGAGGAACCAACCCCTAAATTTCGTAAAAATACACCCTGTATAAATTTATTGCTTAGTTTTCTTTTTAGAAAGTTGCGTAAAGTAAGCGAGTAATTTTCAAGAATGCAAAGCTCTTCTATGAATCGAGCACTCTGTGTCACTCGCGTTTTTATTCAAAATAAATACGTAAACATTCACCTTCCTCTCTGCGATAGCTTAAAGGAAAAATCTCCAACTGATGCCAGATCATTCAGGTTTCGATCCTAGTTTGAGGCAATCGGTAGTCTAGCTACACTGTTGAGCTGTGATACAGCGAAACAGTCTTTCTGTGGATGACTATATATATATATATATATATATATATATATATATATATATATATATTTATTATGAAATGGTCAAACAATTATTTTAATACATTTTTTATGTTTATACGTTCTTTTTTCATAGATACAAATATTTAAGTAAATGCTCTAAAGATGTTTTAATATATATATATATATATATATATATATATATATATATATATATATATATATATATATTTTTAAATTGTGATTAGATTCTTATAGTTTAGGACAGGCGTATGGATGTATCGCTTACATTTGCTCTACAAGACTTTAAAATATGGCACTTTGTGTCCTCCATATGTTTTGACTGACCTTTCAACCACTGGATGAATATTCATGAACGTTCTCAAATGTAAAAGCCTTTTATAAACCAGTAACATCCTTGCCTTTGTATACAAACACGTACAACAAAATATATCCTACGTTTCCTTTGATAAAATCCCTCAGAGGACGAAACGTGTCAACTAAAATAGTATTTCCTCTTGTCTTGTTATTCATTTTGTCCCTTTACAGATGCACACTCTCTGAAAATAATTTACATATATATATATATATATATATATATATATATATATATATATATATATATATATATATACTTATTCCTTTCTGTGGACGTTGGAATTTATATATTACTTCCGTTCCCTCCCATTCCTATATATCATTTCCGTTAAGTTAACCATCTAAATAGGTCAAGTTTCGGTCACCCTCCTACCCCAATATAAAGCATGCTTAAGAGAGATATGAAATTAACCCCTCCCATACTCTACCTTGTTTTCTAATCCCATTTTTCCTTTCATTTCGTTGTTGGAATTGTTACCTGATGATCCGGAGTCCTTTAAAAAGGATTTTGGTGAAATAAATTATTGTAATGGTACCTTAAAATGGTCTGTTTTTTCATTAAATTTATATATATATATATATATATATATATATATATATATATATATATATGATAAAGATTATAGTTTTAAGTTATTCTATATTTATAGTTTAAAGTGCTCAATATTGGGCATTGAGTGTATGTAAATATAAAAATGGACATTTAGGTCAACACCCAGCGGCGACAGTCAGTTTCATTCTTAAACGCAATCATCAGGTCATGTGCGCTCTGTTTTGGTTCAATTATTAATATATACTGGTCAGTGGTCCATTATGGATAGGTTCGTTGTATTATTCTAGCGGTTATTTGGGTGGGCGGTAACGGTTATGTTTCGAATTATTTTAGGGATTTATTGAGTGGAAATAATTATGGATCTGAATACAGTTTTGTGACTGTTTTATAATGTTATTAACTTTTTAACATTATAATGTGTAAAAAAGTTAACAAACAACATTATATAATAAATAATTATTGATTATTGATTATTATGTTTACTTATGTTTGTATGTACGATTGTGGTTTCTTAATTTGTTTATTATTTACTTAATTTATTTACTTATTTATTGAATTGGATTAATTTATTGTACTTATTTATTTAATTTTTTATTTATTATTAGTGCTTCCATTATTTTTAGTCTTTTTTATATGTGGATGAAAAAAAATGGAAAAATCCAACAGTAATTAAAAATCAACTATATAGACGGCCACAATGGGCTGATTGTGCTTAGGAAATAAGAAATATTCTCATCATTCTAGAAGCATATAAAAATCTATACATTCAATTAAAAATAGAAACATCCTTGATAATAGCTGATAAGCGCTTGGATAAATAAAACATTCAGACAATTTCTGCATAATTTATGCCAAGAAACACTTGTATAAAGACAAGAAAAATTGTATAAAAAAGATTGACCCCAGTGACTTGTCAGTTGTCTTTAATGAAATTTTTATATACACCCCGAAAAAATAAAATTAGGTCGAGAACTTTAGAGGGAAAGCGCGAATTTGTAAACAATGACTGCTACTACTACTACTACTACTACTACTAATACTAATACTACTGATAATGCAAAGCTCTTCTATGAATCGAGCACTCTGAGTCACTGGCGTGTTTATTCAAAAATAAGTACATAAAAATTCACCTACATCAAAAATTGTAATGGATAGGGATTATTCGAAAGAGAACTTTTAGTCCATATGGTAACTCAATGTATGATACAGAGCAAAATATAATTAGGAAAAAATTCAGAAAATGTTGTCGGTCTGATGAGATGAGAATTATATATTATATATATATTCATCGAAATAAATTTATTACTGACAATGGATTTTTAAGTTTTTCTCCTAATTATATATATATATATATATATATATATATATATATATATATATATATATATATATATATTATTAGTGGTAAATATACATACATACGCAAAATATATAAATATATATATATATAGTTGCATACACATACATGTATATTTTTTTTGAATAAAAATTCCGAGAGGATAGAATCCAGGTAGAACTCAATGTCCAGGACAGAGTAAGGATATAATAAAAAAAGAAAACACTAATATTCCATGGTCATAATTTATTCCATTGGAATCGTAAATACGATCCACGATCCAATTGGTCGTACTTACGATTCCAATGGAATAAAAAATTATGACCATGGAATATTAGTGTTTAAGTCTTTTTATTATATATATATATATATATATATATATATATGCTGAGAGAATAGAAAAGTTCAGAGCAGATAACATTAGAAAGATTTTAGAGTCCCATGAAAATAAGTGGATACAACGTCTAAAAACGCACTATCCAGACGGGCTAAACCATAAATTTAACAATATAGATAGTACTAATATATAACTCAACAAATCAAAACCTACCCACATTTCTCACCCACACAAGACAGACATGCTTACGGAGGTGTTGAGGCCTCACACTTATACACACACCCACACGAATATACACAGTTACACACATCATACTCACTCACTCCCTAATGAGCCAAATGATAACACACACCCACAGCAATACACACGCTTATACATATCATACTCACTCATTCCCTAAGAACCAAATAACACACACACAAACACTAAACAGAGACACATCCCCTCTCCAGGACCAATAAAACTGTCAAAATGATCAAGGTAATTCAGAGAAGCATACATCCATCCAGCTCTTATCTCAAATAACAACTTAAAAGAGACTGTTTGACCAACACAAGGAATGTTAAAAGATTCATGTTAAAAAGATTTAAAAAATAAAAAAAACAAATGAAAACTACAGACAAAAGTTCATTTTCTCCATCAAGACATTCATTTCTGTAGTTTACTGCTACCAGCAAGCAGAGATATTTATTCTCCCGATGATGGCCATTTTGGCCGAAACTAGTCGAGGAATCTAAATGAAATAATAATAAAAAAAACGAAAGAATATTAATCTACAACCCAGTGTGACGTCACCCCGTGGCCTCTCTGCCTCATCGTCGTCGCCGTCCTATCCTGTCCTGTGACGACCAGCTGACTTGGTATTGGTCGCGGCACCAAATGTGACGTTCTAACCCTTTGCTGATTCGGATGGGAATCTGGTTAGACTCGGTATCAGCTTTGTCGTTCCCAGCTCACCTCCAATGTCTGGTTACCGAAGTAACTGCTTTGATTTCTAGTCTAACCTACCCACGTTGTGATTTGATCTTAGGTAGACGAAATCAATCAGTCACCGGGCCGCAATGCAAGCCGAGTCTAAGCAAAGGTAACACCGCACAAGTATATGTAAACGAAAATAAAGTAACAACTTGAAAAGTTCAAATGTGTTAAAAAAAGAATAACAAATACTTTTTATATCTGGTTGCTGAATACATGACTGCATCTTTCTCCCAAACCGCTAATATGGATTCGTGACACTTTGTGTTTGTTAGGCGAGTCTTAACACCTTAAGTTGTTTTTTTTTAAGAAACTGTTTTTTTTTTCTGTATCTTCAGGCGACATTCGTAAAACTTGTTTTGGTGATGTGAGTCTAAGTCGTTCTTCAAAAATAAATTGTTTTTGGTTAGAAGTTGATGCCAGAATGCGTGGATCTCCAGTCAGCTTTCTGCGAGGCGGGTCTCAGAGCTCACAGCTCAACTCTGCGTCTCTCTCTCCAACTCCTACTGTGTTCTGTGTTACTGCCGTCCACTCGCTGCGACTCTGCTTATATGGACGCCGACCAAAACCGGGGTGGGCCTGTCGGGGTTTGAGGGTCCTTGATAATTCTAAATCCACAATAAGGATTTTCTTTGTTTTCGGACAGGAAAATTTATTACTTTCCATTTTTGGAAGTCCATTACTTTCTACTTTAAGGGAATTGTCCTCCCAAATTCTTCCTTTCTCATATTGGTATCTCACATGATTATCTTCGCCTACCGCTCACGCCACCATTCAACCAATGAACGCCCAGCAGCGTGGGTGTTTGCAATTATCGCTCAAAGGGAAAAAAATATTATCTTCCTTTTTCTTTTTCTTCTTTCTCTTCCCCGAGCAGACCTCCCACGACTCGTAGCGTGGTCCCTAATCTCTATCTTAACAGAATGTCATCTGGACTTTATCAATCGAGATTTCCGAAAGCGTCAAGTGGGTGGTTAACTGGACGCATTTGCATTCTGTCGCTAATTAACTATCCTGGTATCAAACTTTTATCATGGCCAGCTCTGACATAAAACAGGTGTTTTCCCCAAAACCAAATGATATCTCCGAAGAATAGTTAATGGCTTATTCCTTTCCTTTCTCTTTTCCCTTCCTTTCCTTCTCTCCTTGGGGGTGGTCCTCAGCTGAGGTCTTTCTCGGTCAATACGTGCCTGATTAACCTTATCTCTTAGCATTCTGTTTTGTAGGCCACTTGACCGATTTGAAATTTTCATTATTGCGATGGGCAGATTGCTATCTTCTTTCGCCGCGTCATAACATAAATTAATTCCACAGATCCGATATCTTACGAATAATTATTTCAGCTTCTTCTCGCCTTAATTATTTCTCGCTTTTCATTTTCACGCGACCGCTAGTGTCACACTAGTGTGTCTGAAGATTTTAATTTTTTTTTTATTGTTCAGTATATATATATATATATATATATATATATATATATATATATGAATTATTCACACAAAAACTAATGCAAAGGTTAATGATTTAAATGGCGAGACATCCATCATCGCAAACAATTCAAATAATATACAAAAACCTCCGAATCCGTTATGAATGAAATGACCCTTGTTTATATAAATTTCTGCCGTATTAGTTCTTATTTTTACTACAAGCTTTCGTCTGTTCCTACAGACATCTTCTTCAGGTATAGAATAGATGTTGTTCTTGTTTTTTCTTAGTAATAAGAGGACAACGAAAATATATGTATTGTTGTATCCGAAAATGCTATTGAAAATGAGTTATTGTTTTTGGAACGCGCAGAAGCAACGCTGAGTTTGATTTTGAATTTTTAAAGGTTGTGCGTTCATATAAAATATTGTGATGAACAAATTTTTTACTGGTAAATTTTTCTGTCAAAGTGGCATGAACTATATTGTTCAATAATTACAGTAATGTCGCACTTATTATCCAAAAGTCGCACTTGAATCAGTTATTTAAATTACGATAAACGTGCAATCAATTTACAAATACATGAATTATTCACACAAAAACTAATGCAAAGGTTAATGATTTAAATGATTTAAACAATAACTCATTTTCAATAGCATTTTCGGATACAACAATACATATATTTTCGTTGTCCTCTTATTACTAAGAGAAAAAACAAGAACAACATCTATTCTATACCTGAAGATGTCTGTAGGAGCAGACGAAAGCTTGTAGTAAAAATAAGAACTAATACGGCAGAAATTTATATAAACAAGGGTCATTTCATTCATAACGGATTCGGAGGTTTTTGTATATTATTTGAATTGTTTGCGATGATGGATGTCTCGCCATTTAAATCATTAACCTTTGCATTAGTTTTTGTGTGAATAATTCATGTATTTGTAAATTGATTGCACGTTTATCGTAATATATATATATATATATATATATATATATATATATATAAAGAGAGAGAGAGAGAGAGTATTTTGAAATGGAATCTGAATTTATTACATTGTATGAGAACATGTCGGTGTAAGAAAAACCGGTTGTATTGGCGCATTTATGCAAATTATAACATTGACCTTTTTGAACTTTGGCCGGTAATACTGACCTATTCTAACTTCTAACTTACATCGATATAGTCAATATAACACTGAAATTTAAAGCTCTAAATAAGTGAACTAGTGAAAAGACAGAATAAATAAACGAAATTATAACATCTGTTCGGCGGTACAGAGATTGGTAGACAAATAACAATGTTTTTTTTATATTTTATATATTGTATATTTTCTATATATTTTTTATATTTATATATTTTATATATTGCAAATGTTGTACTCAGCAATGAATCCTATAGTACGTATATTATACAGTGAAACTTTCGACTCAAAATTAAGGTATCAACTTCGTGATACGCTATGGACTTATTGAGCTATTCTTGTACCACCTCCACCCTCTGACCTTATTTTTTATTTTAGCGTAGATCTGACTTTTAATGGATTAATCGAGACATACCCACAAGTATATTTTCATTTCTAATCTTATGCCCCTACTCTTTAACTTCCGAAAAGGGGTAACGATTTGTTTTTAAATTTCCCTTATAAATCATTTTTATCATAAGTTACCAACCATCTCCTGAGGAAGTACAATCATAGTATTGAAACATGAAAGCTTTTGTGCAGTGATTTAAAAATGTTTTTATTATAATATCTAATAATAAAAATACAGCGTAACCCGGATATAAGAGAGTTGTCGGGACCGGAGAAGAAGTCTCTTATATCCGGGTTTCTCTTATATCCGGGTTTGGTCTATTTTATATTCATTTGGGACCAGAGAAAATCTCACTTATATCCGGGTTTTTCTTATATCCGGGTCTCTTATATCCGGGTTACACTGTTTTACAATATTTTGTATAGAATTTATTTTTTAAAAGTAAATGCCACGAACTGTAGATTTTTGCTCCATCTGCGTGTCTATATGCTACGTTTTATTTTCAAATTTAAAAATTGATCAAGAAGGGGCGGAATTTATTTTTTCTTTGCCCGGTCGGAAATTCGTTTTACCTTTGATTTTATAAGTGTAATATCGACTTCGATGAAACTTCAAACTTTTTCAAACTTCTTCCTTAATATTAGATACTATTCCTGTCACTGGATTGGGATGAAGTTTTATCGACAAGACGAATAAGCGAATGGACGGCCTTTCAATAGATGTACTTGCAGGCAATTTACGACGGAAACAAATATCAACGTCTTTTTCGTTTGGCTGTAAGAAAAATAAGTGTACGTTGAAGAGAAAAGGAATGTTAATGGCGATAGATGAAAGGGGAAGGGGCGACAAATACGGCTTAATTCACCAGAACGAGCGAAATGGATTACCCCAATAGACCAATCATCAAGCGATTTCAAGTGTCGCGTGCTGCCCGCTTGATTGGCTATTAGAAATATCAGCTTACATTTCCTGGGGGCTCAAAGGAAAAATAACTTGAATTATATGCCATGATATTATGGGGATGAACTCTTTTTAATCTGCATTTCATACGAGAAACGAATACATTCGGTAGTTTTCGCAATCGGTAAATGATTATTCAGTTTATAACGGACAGACAGAATGGCAACTGCACTTAGGTATGCATTGCGCTAATGGTCAGCTCGAATGTTGGAAAGCCAAAAAAATATAATCCGAGATGATTAAGGAATTAGATATAAAGAAACTGCAGAGGGAAAAGAGAAATCGAAGATATTTTTTTTTTTATCATTTTACCCCAAGCAAGGCGATAATGTGACTAAGACGAGGTGGGTGACTGTGAGTGAAAGAGAATGAGAAGACTTTACAAGGAAATGGAAACAGTTTTTTTGTTGCTATCTGAGGGTCGGGATTCCAAACATTTAACAACAACAACAACAACAGTATATCTTTTAAATGAATCATAAAAAGTTATTTTCTGGCAGAAAAGTAGAAGAAGGACCTCAGTTGAAATAATATTTATATGTTCTTTTCGGAAATATACAATAGAATAAAATGATCAAATTTCCTTGCAGTGAAGTTTGTTTTATCAAATAACTGCTGGCTGTTTCTCTTCCGTTGTGTGTGTAGATCAAATTGAACTCAGGAATTTTTTGTGAGCCTCGAGAACCAGTAGGCTTTTATTTTTATATCCATAAGGGTATTCAGAATCTAATTTCACATGGAGGTGTGAGCTTTTAAATACAAGGTTTTCATTGGTTAGAAAAGTAATTCACACTGGCTTGCAAAAATCTTTTCTTGAATTTGCATGGATGGTGAAGGGAGTTATTATTGTTATTTTTTAAATGGTCCACAAATAACACGTGGTCGGACTACAACTACGTTCACAAGTATTTGTCCTTATAATGATTGTTTATCCAATAAATCTTCTGATGGGATTTTATTGGTTGAAATATATATATAGGATTTAAATTCTATAACATCTACTTCTGTTCAATAGACAAAGAAGGAAATTGAACCTGGCGATAAGTGAGCTTATTTACTCCCGTTTTTCGCTAATAATTTTTTCTTTTCTTTTTTTAATAAAGAATATTTGGAAGATAGAAGTGAGTTTAGTAAAAACGAGCCCATAATTAAAAGAATAGAGGGTGTCTAAAAATGTATACACATTTTACAGTGTATAATATCTTTATTGACTGCATATCACCCCTTTAATCTTTTTCTTATGGGGATACTTAAAAGATAAAATCTACGCTACTTTTGCGGTTTTCAACAATTTTGATGAGATTTTATAAGCTCCTTGTACATTTGACCTGCAATTGTTAGTGGACTCGTGTAAGTTCAAAGGAAAAATAAGACATAGAATTTGAACAAAGAAATATTAACAAATATATTGATAGAACATTTTACAAAAGGAAAAATGAGAAATGAAATGAAAGGTGGAGACTTCTGTGCAACCGGCAGTTGAGTACTTATATTTTTGATAGAGCGAAAATAATACGTCTTTTCGCTATGAAAAGTCACCGAGAAAGAGGTTGATTCTTTCAAATCTAACGCCACTTGTAATTATCGTCAGGGAAGGATAATTCAAAATCCCACCGCCTGTGATTATCATCAGGGGGCGGTACTCCAACACTACAAAGCCAGTAACAATCACTGATATGAAAGTTTTGTTTTCTCTAGCACTGTGGCCTAGTATATGCGCTGATTCCTTAAGTTTTCTTATCTTTTAGTGATGTTATTTTAATCTCATCCTACAGACGTGGGGGGTCTCCTTTTTCCCTGCATATATGGTCAGCCATGCCTGATTTTTCTATTTCCCCTCGTGTTACAGATTTACGGTGTTCCAGCAGTCTTATCTTAATCATAATTAATCTTATTTAGTGTTATAATTTTCTTATATAGAGAGCTTCAAGAACTTGAAGTTTTTGTTCATAGTAGAGTATACATGTAATGCCAATTAATATTTCTCTAACTCGTGAATGTGGGCAGGAATGCTCCTTTAAAAGTTAGGCTATGGAACTTGAATCTACCATTATCTACCTCGATAATGTTGTTGTCATGAAACCAACATATATGAATATAGTTTTGTCAGAGATACAATCTCCCAAAGGGCATTTAGATTGATATACAATGTTGGTATTTTGCAGTTGACGTAGAAGAATTAATGCGGATGATTAAGGTGGTTGCATTGAATTTATGATAATATGTAATTCGTTTAATTCACACTTGAAGATGATCTCGGATAAGATTGAAAGTACTTGGGAAAATAAAAGGAATGAGATAATCTACGGTGACTTCCTTAATTAGTTTAATAACAACATTAAGAAATTGATCCGTAAACATGAAAGGATTAAAATAAAAATAAATAGACATATGATGCCTAACTATATCTATCTATCTATCTATCTATCTATATATATATATATATATAGTTAGGCATCATATATATATATATATATATATATATATATATATATATATATAGAGAGAGAGAGAGAGAGAGAGAAAGAGAGAGAGAGAAATGAGAAATGTCCGAAGATCAGTTGGGATCCCAAAAAGAAAGCAATATATATATATATATGACAGAAGGTTAAAAATGCCAAGTTTGGTTAAATATTTTTGCTTTACATATTCGATTTAGAATTTTGTATTGAGCAGTTTTTGTTGTTTATATATTTTAGCGCGGATGTTTTCAGTCTTTCTTTTACATTTCTATCCGTATATATATATATATATATATATATATATATATATATATATATATATATATATATATATATATAAAGTCCACATTGGACGAAACGCGTCAGCAATTACCAGTTTTCCTATTGTCATTTTTATTCATAAATATATATATATATATATTGGATTCTTTTTTCTGCGTGTTTTTCCTTTTTGGAGCCTAAATATTAAATGGAATGAAACGCATGTTCATAAATATTCAAACTGACGACGTAGTCAAAAAGTCAGGAGATTTTTTAGGACATCTTGTATATATAGATGTGTGTGTATGTGGGGGGGGGCATAGTATACGAAACAAAAATGGAGATAATGGTGAAAGTGGAAAAGCATTTTAACGACGCGTTTTTCGCCGAAAAGCCCAGAGAAAACAAGTTTGGGAACCAATGGCCTAGTCAGTCATGAATCCAAAGAATCATAATCGGCCAAGCATTTGACTGAATCAAACCAAATATGCTGCAAAAAAAAAAAAAAAAAAAAAATGACGTCAGTAATCAAAATTACAGAAGCGAAGTGATCAAAAGAATATTTGTTTGGGATAATTAATACAGCAGACAACTTATTCGTGTCAAATCCAAACTTAATGGCTCGTTATATTATGAATGAAAACAGGATTACAAGAGTCAGAAGGAGACTCCATTGAAAGATACTAATTGGATGCCACGTAACAACACACCGTCACGAAGCAAAAAATCATTAAAGAGACGAAATCATCTTTTCTCATGTGCGAATAATCTTTCGTAAATGGGGGGGGGGTCTTATACACCAACTCCATCCACTTTTGCCGGAAGTTATTCTCACTCTAGAAAAAAAATCAATAGACTTAATTCGCCACTTTTGCTGGTTTTTATTATCTCATAGCAGATACTTTTACCCAGGTTTTCCGTCTCTTTGACAATCTTTGCTTCATGAGGGGGCGGGGGGGGTGTTACATTGCATAAATTTCATGTATTTCAATGGATTATCCTTCTAACTTTTGCAATGCTGCTTTCATTCATTACTTAACGAGCCGTTAAGTTTCGATTTGAAAAGGTCAACGTTCTAGTCTTTTTTATTATCCCATAGAAAAGATTCTTTGTCCATTCTTCTTCCATCTACAGTAGAAATCCTTAAATCCTAACTTCAGATTAGTTCGCATATGAGGACGGATTCAAATATAATGTGGCATGTGTAATATTAGTATAACTTAACAAAACACAAGAACTTAACGCAATATATATATATAAATGTCTCATGAAAGTAAATATTGATTTGCAATGTTTAATGCTCAATAAGTTTTATTTTCAATTATCTTTCTTATTTCTTTTCTCATTTTGCTTACTTTTCACTGTTCTCGTTTAAGGCATTAAATTAAATTAAGGTATTTCTGGCTTGTATGTTCTGTACTACTGAACAAAGGCTTTTTTTTCCTCCATGAATTTGATAACCTCATCAATAGATTTCTCTACTGAGTCCTAGTCTTCTTCAACAATCCTTCATATTTTCACCATTATTGGAAGAATTTTGTTCTTTGTCTTTTTCTTGACCATCCAAATCATTTTGAAGTGATTCTACTACTGAATTCTTTTGATATTCATTAGCGTCTTCCTTTATCCATTCTTTTAAGCCATCCGAAGTGAGAGTTTTCAGTGGATCATCTTTAAGCGCAAGTTTTAGTGTTTTGTTTAGATTATGCAATCCTTGTTTGTTTATTTGCAAATTCAACGAATTAGGAGTTTCTTCACTTTTTTTTTCTCTTCAGTTGCATTTGTTTCTGTTATGGTCCAGGTTAGGACGAAGGAAGAACACAAGAGTAGAAATAATGAAGGTGTGGCACCATGCATAATTAGAAAACTGAAAAGAGATATTCATAAATATATGATTTATTTTTTTCGGTTTGTTAACCATTTGATAGTTATTTAGAGATGAAAAATATTTCGGGGTTAGGAATAATTCTTTCTTTACATTTAGGCGATCTGAGAGAAAGAAAGAAAGAAAAGAAAAGGAAGGAAAGAAAGGAGAAAAATAAATAATACGAAACCAGGTCGTAAGCGAAAACACACACGCTCGACTGGCACATATCAGATGTCCAAAATATAAGGTCAAGCACCGACCTACTTTCGTGTCCGCGGAGGATGGGAGTTTATTATCAATTTGGTTGAAGAAATAAAATTTTAGAGACAATGAAAAAAGAAATATTGATAAGTAACAAATGAAAAGGGTGTCATTGAGATGATAGGTAACAGATGGGGAAGTGTATCTAAGGATATGAAAACAAAGCATTAATACAAGAACTCAGACAATTTCTAGAGTTGAAAAAAAAAACACCCAAGGTGATGTCGCTTTTTTTGAGATAATACAGAATTTTATTATCGGCCGGAGGAGAATGAAATATTTTGTTGCGTCCAGAGAGACGCCGACAGGTCTAGGAAAATCCTTTTCTTAGATCGTATCCAATTAGCGGTAGGCTGTTTTGACAGATACCACGTGTAAAAGAAACCGATAGCGTCATTTCAGTTACATACGAAAAGGGCAATTTAAATTTTGTTTTTTTTAGCAAGGTGTTTCTTCCCCCAGAACAAAGCCACGGATTGTCCACGCCCGATTAGAGACGTCACGAAGGAAGGAGGAAAGATACCGACCAGAGTCTCATTGGCCGGGGGCGGTCACGTGATACATGAGGGAGGAGGAGAGACACCCGACCAGAGTCTCATTGGCCGAGAGCGGTCACATGATGTGCGAGGGAGGAGGAAAGTTGCCTGACCAGGACCCCCTTGGTCGAGAGCGGTCACCTGACATACGAAGGACCAGGGGAAGCGGGTATACGCCTCCCCCCCAGAGGCACAGTAAGGAAGTAGGAGTGAAAGTAAGTTACCGATAATGGAAAATCCCTAATCAGAAATAATACGTCTTTAGAATTATCAAGAAAACCCTGGCGCCGACAGACCCACCCCAGTTTTTTGACTGCCTCAATAAAAGCAGGACCCCAATCGACAGAAATCAGTTGGGGTTGCGCCTCGGACGAAGTTGGAGTTGGAATTGGAGTTGCAGTTACGCCGCGGACAGCGAGGGAGCTTGAGCGCGGGCGGCGGGCCCGGTTCATTCGCCCCTTTGCGGCAAGAGAAGCCGAAGTGAATAAGCTCGCCCAACCGAAGCCGAAGTGAAGCAGCTGTTTGGCCTAAGTGGAGAAGTTGGAATCAAACCAAGCCTAAGAAGAGAAATTCGCCCAACCCAAGCCGAAGTGAATAAGCTCGTCCAACCGAGGCCGAAGAGAAGAAGTTAGTTCGCGCACTGACGGTAGAGATGGGTGAACAATAGTTCAGACTCTGAGGAGAGAGTTAGTTATAGCCACGGACGACGAGGGAAATCAGCCGTGAACGACAGGTAGAGATCAGCGCCCAGTGTCGAAACCAAACCACAACCCGAAATGCAAATTTCTAGAGAGCAGGCAACTCGAAGCCTTAAAGTTGTATGGTAGAAGCTTGGTGCCACAGTCCACAAAACGGGTCGGGAGGTAGGAATAATCTTGTGTAACGAACATTTAGATATAAAAAGTTGTTACTTTTTTCTTCAATAATTTTTGACCTTGTGAGTTTTTTCTTTTTTTTGTGTGTTATCACCCCGTTGGACTCAGCTTGCATACGGCCCCAATCCTGTTTGATCCCGTCTGTCTAAGATCTAATCACAAAGTGGGTAGGCAGACCGGGGATCAGTGCAGTTACCCTAGTAACCAGGCGTTGGAAGCGAGTTGGGAACGACGAGGCTGGTATTCATCTAACCAAAGGGTTAGAACGTCACACTTGGAGCAGCGAGGAGCGAACAGCTGACGCCGCGGCAAAGACGTCACAACTGGTGTCGTGACCATAGGATCAGAACCCTGGACCACGTCACGTCACAGTTGGCGCCGCGAACGAGATCGAACGACAGAGTCGACGCTGCGACCAGGGGGGACGTCGTCACAAAGGTATATTACACGAAATAATAATACAAGATGTGGAAGGTGTTAGTATGACTGTCAGTCTGGTCTGGAGTGAACTACTATCGGCTCGACTCGATTCGGTATCTAGCCACCCCCACGAGGGTTGCATGTGGCACAAGGCCGAGTTTAACGTGGGTTTCCCGAGCCCGTAGGCTCGGCCAAAAAATGCCCGTAGAACCTGTATAAACGGGATCGGGTTGGTCAACCTCCCCGAACGAGACTCTGCCCTTCGGCGGAGCCTCGTCCGGGTTCCTCTCTGCTGAGAGGCAGAGAGTTCGACCGTCAAGCCGAGAAGCTCGGCTTGATTCTTCTCTCTCTCGAGAGAGGCGTAGTATACATAGTGTTAGGAAGAGTTCATTCTGTAGTTATAGGTAAGGACCCATGACAGTTTCCATGGGCCATAGATTGATAGGTTTTACATAATTCCATGCTTCTTCCTTGAGCAAATAAACTGCATGTTTGATGGTAAAGTTTTGTTGAAATTCTAAAGGATTCAATTTTTTACTATCATTTTCATCAACAGGTTGTTTTTATAGTGACATTTCATATTCATTATTCCCCCTTCATCATCTGGTTGAATAAGAGCAGTAACATGAGGCGGGAAAAAACGAACATAAATATTTCCACAGTTCGAAATCAGTTCATATTCATGTGGATGAGCATTGCAGTTGTTGAGAAGCAAAACACATTTGCTTTTTTTCAGCCTTTCCTAAACATCGAAAATTCGCTCGGACTGATGGAATGAAAATTTAAAAGAAAAAAAATCATGAAAGATGTTTTTAACCATCCAAGCACTTTGGGTCTTGTAACTGACCAATAAATGACTCAAACGCGCTGATTTTCCAATCACGAACGGTTCTATTTTATGTGGTCCTGAAACGTTTGCACAAACGAAGACAGTCAAACGTTCCTTGTTATGCTTAAATTCCGATGCCTGTGTTTCTTCTGCTAATGGCTTGGTTGGTAAACACTTCCAGTATATTCCAATTTCGTCAGCATTGTAAATTTCATCAGCAGTGAATCCTTTTTCTTTTATGATGGTTTTAAATTCTGTACGAAACTTTGAATTAGCTTCAGTGAAAACTAATTTTCTTTCACCAGAAATGCTTAACGATTTTTGAAGCATTCATCGCTAAACTTGCATTCTGTATCTACGTTTAAATCCTCATACATAGATTTAGCTTTGGCAATAATCATTGGACCAGGAATAGCCATGACTTCTGAACGTTTCGATTGAAACCAACTCGTGAAGAACTTCAGATTTTGACTCATGAAGAGTCTTTTATTAGATGTTTTACTTCTAGGCTCTGCTGAATTCGCCTGTCAGAAAAGATTTTTTTCTTGATTTCTGTATATCATTCGGAGTAGTTTTGTCAATGTTGTACACTTTTATTATGCCAGATAAGCTTGTGCCATTTGTCCACTTTTTCAATAATCTCTAATTTCTGACGTAACGTGAAAGAATTTCTTTTCCTTTTTCTTCCAGTTGAAGTTTCTTCTGTGCCAAAAAATTGGGTTGAAAAATTTCAAGTTACATTGAAGCCTCGGTTCACGAATTTAATTCGTTCCTGAGAGCTGTTCGTAACACGAAATGTTCGCAAACCGAAACTATTTTTTCAATAGGAATCAATGTAGAGAAAAAAAAGTCATAGTACAATAAAATTGGAAAAGAAAAACACGACACAACACACGGATGTATACAACATGGCGGTCGACACAGAAATTATTCCGTTCGGGTTAACTCAGTTCGGCTATGTTGTTCGATAACTGAAGTATTTTCATCTCGAATTTTCTGTTCGAAAATCGATTTGTTTGATATGTGAGACGTTCGAGAACCGAGATTTGCAAAGAAAAGAAAAATATTAGAATGAAGCATGTTCCTATAACATCTAAAGGGCAACATTGCGAAGTTCAGATATGAGGACATACGAATATGAGGACATTCGGATATGAGGACGTTTGGATATGAGGACGTTCGCATATGAGGATGTTCGGATATGAGGACATACGGATCTGAGGACGCTCAGATATGAGGACATAGGGATACGAGGACATTCGGATATGAGGATGATCGGATATGAGGACATACGTATATTAGTAGATACGGATATGAGGATGTTCGGATATGTGGACATTTGGATATGAGGACGTTCGGATCTGAGGACGCTAGGATATGACATAGGGAGATGAGGATATGAGGATCTAAGGACTTTCAGATATGAGGACATTCAGATATGAGGACATACGGATATGAGGACATTCGGATATGAGGACGTTCGGATATGAGGACATTCGGATATGAGGACGTTCGGATATGAGGACATACAGATCTGAGGACGCTCAGATATGAGGACATAGGGATACGAGGACATTCGGATATGAGGATGATCGGATATGAGGACATACGTATATTAGTAGATACGGATATGAGGATGTTCGGATATGTGGACATTTGGATATGAGGACGTTCGGATCTGAGGACGCTAGGATATGACATAGGGAGATGAGGAGATTCGATTCGGATCTGAATTCAGATATGAGGACATTCAGATATGAGGACATTCGGATATGAGGACATTCGGATATGAGGACGTTCGGATATGAGGACATTCGGATATGAGGACATACAGATCTGAGGACGCTCAGATATGAGGACATAGGTATACGAGGACATTCGGATATGAGGATGATCGGATATGAGGACATACGTATATTAGTAGATACGGATATGAGGATGTTCGGATATGTGGACATTTGGATATGAGGACGTTCGGATCTGAGGACGCTAGGATATGACATAGGGAGATGAGGAGATTCGGATATGAGAATCTAAGGACTTTCAGATATGAGGACATTCAGATATGAGGACATACGGATATGAGGACATTCGGATATGAGGACGTTCGGATATGAGGACATTCGGATATGAGGACGTTCGGATATGAGGACATACAGATCTGAGGACGCTCAGATATGAGGACATAGGGATACGAGGACATTCGGATATGAGGATGATCGGATATGAGGACATACGTATATTAGTAGATACGGATATGAGGATGTTCGGATATGTGGACATTTGGATATGAGGACGTTCGGATCTGAGGACGCTAGGATATGACATAGGGAGATGAGGATATGAGGATCTAAGGACTTTCAGATATGAGGACATTCAGATATGAGGACATACGGATATGAGGACATTCGGATATGAGGACGTTCGGATATGAGGACATTCGCATATGAGGACGTTCGGATATGAGGACATACGGATCTGAGGACGCTCAGATATGAGGACATAGGGATACGAGGACATTCGGATATGAGGATGATCGGATATGAGGACATACGTATATTAGTAGATACGGATATGAGGATGATCGGATATGTGGACATTTGGATATGAGGACGTTCGGATCTGAGGACGCTAGGATATGACATAGGGAGATGAGGAGATTCGGATATGAGGATCTAAGGACTTTCAGATATGAGGACATTCAGATATGAGGACATTCGGATATGGATATGAGGACATTCGGATATGAGGACGTTCGGATATGAGGACATTCGGACATATGAGGACGTTCGGATATGAGGACATACGGATATGAGGACGCTCGGATATGAGGAACATAGGATACGAGGACATTGACGGATATGAGGATGATCGGATATTCAGATATGAGGACATACGGATATTAGGAGATACGGATATGAGGATGTTCGGATATGTGGACATTTGGATATGAGGACGTTCGGATCTGAGGACGCTAGGATATGACATAGGGAGATGAGGAGATTCGGATATGAGGATGTAAGGACTTTCGGATATGAGGACATTCAGATATGAGGACATTCCGATATGAGGACTTCTAATGTACTTGTTTATTGATATCTCTTTTTTTACTGCAATGACATTAGTTTGATTACTTCTACTTAAAACTAAAATCCTGCACAAGTTCTTGACAAATTCATTCAGTAACCTGTATTAGGTGAATATTTAGTTAAAAAAAATGTAATGTTACTTTCGTTGAATACTTGACGAGAATATTTGACTTTAGTATGGATACTGATTACCTAACTAGTTTCTTTGCTTTCTTTACTAATTTCTGAGAAACTTTTTTTCTGTTAATTTACACAGAATAATGTAAAATTATTTATATAAATATTAATTCACTCCAATAAATTAAAAATCGTGAATCAAAGTTTGTTTTTATTGAATTTTCGGTACTCATTTGAAATTATAAATTTTAAATTTGTAAAGCTTGACATGAATTTACTGGAGTTAACAGCCTCCACATTATTGGATATAATCCGAAGCTGAATTTTGCCTGGGAATACGATTATGGCGGGTTGTTGGAAAGAATTGAATGGAAATCCCAATTATATTCATCTGACTGTAAATCGCAGTATTAATTTTTTTGACCCAGAAAAAACTCGAACTCAAACAATTGAAACTACTTAACGGAACGCCAAAATGCAAAATAAATTCAGGACTTATCGCAGCATGATAAAGTCTTATTTGTGTGACTTTCTTTGGACACGTAAATAAAAATGAATATATTTTGGAATAAAGTTTTAAGGGGTGAATTAATATTTTTGGGTGAATTAGCAGAAAAAATCTATTTTTTTTCTATTCAAAATGCGTCGATAATCTGACAGAGGACATTGATATTCCGATCTCCTTGGCAATTTCATGATAACTCATTGTCTTCTCTGAGCATGTCGTTCTCTCGTATCAGTTAATTCTATCGAGTTAATTCGTCCTTGGGATATTGCTTTCATTTCACAAGGACGAATTAACTAAATAGAATTAAATGATACGAGAGAGCCTCTCGCTTGGACAGGAAATTTGATATTCTCTGAAGGTGACCAGCTACCACTGACACCTGAAGAAATCTGGCTACCACGGCTGAAACGTTATGACGAAAATAACAAAAGTATATTAATCCTTGGAAATCATCATACTAAAAATGTAGACAAAAATTAAATAATCTATTGGAATACGTAATATATTATATATACATGGCGGAAGCACGGTGGCGTATGGAGAGCGTTTCGGATTGAAGATTCTGTGAGTCGGGTTCGAATTGCAGTCGAGTTGGTTGCATTCATTTCCGTGCAAATAGCCTTGAGAAAAGGTATAAATCTACCTCTTCCCCACCCTCAGCAGGACAGTAGCAAGACAGACGAAATCTTGTAACCGGTCTATGAGAAGGACAACTCTGAATTCAAAACCTGAGTGATCGAGTGGTCTGCGACTAAACCGGCTCCCCCACCAGACAATTGTCTTATGGGGAGGGTAAATAGCAGTACAAATAACTAGCGCTACAAAAAAGCTCTTCAGAGTCAAAGGCCATCTGTCTCAATAGCGTTACCAGCCCGCAATTGGCTACACACCAGAAGACATGATCAACCAGGGAGCATTTCTCCCAACAGGAGTGAGAAACCTGGATTTGGATTTGGAATATATGGTAAATATGCAAGAAGTATCAAAAATACTTTTATAAATTTTGTAGGAGTCTTCCTTACACCAAAACAAGAACAAAGATGTCCGAAAACCCTTCGTTTTCAGTTAACTTTAAAAAAAATTACGGTAGATGTAGCTGTGTTTCAATTTAGACTAGGTTACATTTGTCATTCGTGTACATTTGCGGCTAGTCTGTCTTCAACGTTTAACGTATGTAGTAGTGAGTTAACTGAGAAGTGTTCCGTTTAACAATGGCAGAATATTCATATCGTTAGCAGGCAGATATGATTTGTACATACGGCCGCGCGAATGGTAAAGGTCGCGAGGCTGCACGGCTGTATCAGATTGCGTTTCCTGACAAAAGGCAGCCGAATCATTCAACCTTTCTTGTTGTTGATCATCGTGTTGCGGAGAGAGGATCCGTGGCACCACACACTATGGATCTCAGTCTTCCATTCGTACGCCTGACCACGAATAACATATACTACAGGCTGTCAGAGACAATCCAAGTATCAGAAGACGTCAAGTGGCCCTAGAATGTCGTACTTCTAATAGTACCGCATGGAGGGTAATTCAAGAGTAACCCCTATATCCGTATCATTTGGGACGTGTGCAGTGTCTTTCGCCCTCTGATCACTCACAACGGGATAACTTTTGCTGATGGTTTATTCCACTAACTGCCGATTCGTTGTCCAGTCTTCAGTCTTGTTTACGGATGAGGTAACATTTGGAAGAGATGGAATAACAACCAACATTTGTGGGCGGATCGGAACTCCCATGGTACAATACAGGCTAGAAAACAGCACAATTAATGTGTAGACTGGAAATGTAGATGACTGCCTGATAGGTCCACATGTTCTATCAGCATGTCTTACAGGAGATGTTTGCAGGGGCTTTATTTCGAACACACTTGTTCACATGCTAGGGGATGTATTCCTGTTAATACGAATACGCATGTGAGTCATGCATGATAGGGCTGCAGCATATTTTAGTCACATTGTTCGCGATGTACTGTCTGACATCTATGAAAGATGGATTGGTAGAAGATGGCCGATTCCATCGCCTGCACGTTCCTCCGACCACAAATGCTTTGGATTTTATCGGGGGGCACATAAAATATAAAAAAAACATAAAACTGGTTTATGCATCAGATATTAATAATGCAGAGAAGCTTCATCAACGTGTCACGAGGGGCTGCAAAGCCGTTTGACACTGTTATACCAGAACATTACTTATTCTATTGTAATAGACTCTCCCACACATAATAAGTAGTAGTTGTAGTAGCGGTCGCCAGTTGAGCTCAGTGGAGTTGAGTGAGTCAGTCATTGTCGGACATTAAAGTATCAACCACCACAACTAGATTGCTGCGTCATTAACTCTTATTTCAAGTTCCTAACGTTTTGTACGTCGGACCCTTTTAGGACCGACTTAGCGAAATACAAGCCTCCACTGTGAAAACTATTTTACAGCAGACACCGTGTGAGAGTATTTGAAAAAGTCCACCAGTCAGTGAATTGACGATTGCATGCGTGTGTAGAAACAGGCTGGGGAAATTCTGAACATTTGTTATGAGTTGGTGTGTTGAGATAAAACGATGTCCTTTTTGGCATATGTTTATATGGACATTTTACTCTGTTTTGGAGCCAGGAATCCGCCTCAAAGTTTGTAAAAATATTTTTAATCCACCTTGTATATATACAGGGTGCAATTGTTAAATTGTCCTCTAAATGGCGCAAAAATGAAAATCTCATTTTAACAGATATGTTCACCAAAATTTACACATAAATAGCTTGAAATACGAAATACTTCAATAAAATCGCCATTGGCTCCAATCACGGCCTCCGGACGACTTCAGAATATCATGCAATTCTTCTGGACAATTTCCTTGTTTAAGTTGGCGAATGCTGCCTTAATCCTTATCTTCAGTTTATCTTTGGTGTCATAAGGAGTTTGTTGGTCTCTCGCCCAGCTGCGCTCCACAAATAATCAAAGGAGTTGCAGTCTAGGGGAATTAGGTAGCCAGATGTAAAGGGTGATATCGTTGCAGAAATTGTCTGACAGTCATGACTGGGTTCTCCTTCTTGTGTGGCATGGTGCAGAGTCCTGTTGCCAGATATAGGTCTTGCAGCAGCCACCCACTTGACACAGACAGCACTACTACCTCCAGGCGCTTGATGTAGGCCTCCATCTTCATTCGGAAGATCTCACCAAAAGTCGAGAACAATCAGAGTGAGATTTCTGAGTTTCCGTACCTTCGTAATCACCATCAGACTCATCCAAATCTTTCCAAATCCTCTACACTGTCCTCAGATTGACACGCAAATATCCT